AAGAAAACAGACATTTAGTGTCGGTTGTTTTGTGTCGGTTCACTTAACCGACGCTAAATTTTTATTTTGCGTCGAAGATTTATGTTGGTTACTCAACCGACACAAAATTTAGCAAATTTGTGTCGGTTTCAACTTTAACCGACACAATTCTAAGCGATTTGAGTCAGTTGATACCCTAACCGACACAATTTACAAAGGTTTGTGTCGGTTGCTTTTCTAACCGACACAAATTCTGGCAATTTTGAAATTTTCACAAAATTTAACTTGGTTTTGGCTCTAAAAAATTCCACTGGCCGCCCAAAGTTCCCCCTCTTAACAATTGAAATTTTCCCTTTCCAATACAAGATCAAATAAAATCTTTCTTCTTCTTCTTCTTCTTCTTCTTCTTCTTCTTCTTCTTCTTCTTCTTCTTCTTCTTCTTCTTCTTCTTCTTCTCATATTCATCGACCTCACTCTGCGTCTTTCACCATTTTTTACCCTCTTCTTCCATAACAAAGGCGACGACACATCCCTTCCACATCAGCCCCTCCGCCTTGCCGTCGTCGATCCGACAGGATCTCTCTCTGTCACCTGAGTTCCATCCAAGCCGATCCACGCCAGACCACCTCCTCAACCGTCGCCGCCCCTAGCAGATCTACCTCCATCGACGTCGATTCCCTCCACAACATATGCTTCCTGTATTCTCTGCCGGCGTCGTTTCCCTCTCCCACAACCTGCGCCTAACTAAAATTTCCTTGGCTACATCCTACAATCTGCTTTTGGGAAGGGCAATTTGAGAAAGGGTAAGAGGGACGAAGACTGGGGAAAACGCAGATCTGTCGGTGGGTCGCCAGATTTGGGTTTGGAGAACAGCGGTCGAGTTTGCTCTGGCGCTGATTCTTGCGAGACCAGTTGGTTTCTTTTCTTTTTTCAATCTGTAGGGAACAGAGCTGATTCTGGCGGGAGGGCGAGAAGGCGACGACGGCTGGTGAGTAAACAGGGTAAGCGGGACTCTGCTTCTCTGATGCTACAGTTCCAGATGGAGGGGAGGAAGGCAAGGTTCCGAGGCAAATCGACGGCGGCGGTCCAATCTTCTTCCCCCTTCCTCTAGCTTCCGCCGATTCTTCACCCACGGCGGCGACTAGACGAAGCTCGAGATAGAGACGACAATTCGCGGTGCAACTGTGTGGCTGGAAGAAGAAGAATAGTCGAGCGGCGAGGGAGGCGGAGGGGTGCGGTGCTGATTGCAGAGATCGACGAAGAAGAGATGGAAATATGTTTTTTTATCGTTTTTTGGGCTTTGGGGGGAATTATCTTCCCCAAATCTGGAGACCAAGCGACAATTGCTTCCGTGGGAAGCTTTTATTTTTTATTTTTTTTTCTAATAATTTGTGACGGTTATTTTGAGTCGGTTGAACCGACATAAATAATTAATTAATTTTCGAAATCAATTTTTCTTAATGAATGTGTAGTGTTAGTTAAACCGACTCAAAATAACCGACATAAAAAAATTGTGTCGGTTATTCCGGCGGTTGCTCAGAATTGACACGAATCAGGTTAGTGTCGGCCGTTTTTGTGTCGGTTAAGTGAACCGACACGAAATTGTTTAGTGTCGGTTATAAGCGACACTAAACATTAGAAATAACCGACACTAAACAATAGTTTTCTTGAAGTCGTCATAAAAGCCCAAGAGGAATCCACTATAGAAAATTTCATCCCAAACCCACAAAGAAACCCACAATGGCTTTTTGATGGTGCTAACTGCCGCTGGGCCGAACCCATCAAGTCGTGCTGGATTTCATGGAGGAGTTACTTATGGGCCAATCAACCCAAGGGAGGAAGAAAATCCACGACGACCCCAATGCCACTGGCTCAAGCCCAAGGAATCTTTGCGAGTATGCCTTGCATCCTCCTCAAGTTAAGCAATCCGAGTCTCTGTGGTATAAGAAAGTCTCTGTGGTATAAGGAGTCTCTTCATTCACAAGTTTCTTGTCCTGACTTAAGGCTAGAGTCCTCGAGGTGGTTGGGAGATATCTTGTCTCCAGTTGACCCTGTAAGTTGCTAGTGACACGCTACCGATGATTGAAGTTTCATGCTATTGTGGGAGTCTAGTGAGTTGCACCGATTTGAGCTCGGTTTGCTCGGGGACAAGAAAATGGTTAAGTGTGCACAAGAATTTGATACCGGCATAATGGTACATATTTTGAGCTTCATGTCTTGAGCCTCATGGGACAAGAATGATTTCTAGGACATTTGGTGGCAAAATTAGGCCAAAGGTAGCAAAAATGTCAAAAGCTATGACTAGGCTTCACAAGTCTCGACCATGACCGTGACATTCAACACGAGCCCGCGACTTTCCAAATATCAAGGGAGATTTCACAAATCGCGATCTAGCTTCACAAATCACGAACATGGCCATGACATGCATCATCCAGTCTACGATGTTCGACAAACACCATACGACATTTCTTATGTCACGTTTGGCCATTCACAAGTCACGGCCATGACCGTGACATTTTCTCCCTACTCTTGACTTCTGCACTTCAAATCGAAGATGATATGATCCCAAATTTCCAACCATTCACGTCACAATTAATTGACAAAGAAGCTATTGAAGTTGGGAAGAAGAAAGGCAGAATTTGGCTAAGTCAAAATCCGTGTTTAGGGTACATACTTTGGAGGCATGGTTCTCTCAATTGGCTTGTTGGAAATTCAAGTTTAAGGGTTGTTTTACAGATAAAGTTACCATGTTTCCCATGGTATGCTTTGTGGATCCAGATAATGTCATTAAGGTTGTTTTCCAAGGCCTCAAAGTTGCTACCTCAAAACTGGAAAACTGCCAGAAAATGACTCAAGGGAGAAAACTGTTTTGTGAAGCCTACTTTGGAGCTTAATTCGAGGAGTATGGGTCTGATTCAAGTCCAAAGGCTTCCACAACATGAAAATAGGTATGTTTTTGAACAAAGGGAAGGAATTGGATGAAGAATTGGAGTTTGGGAAGGCCTCGAACGAAAGGCACGAAGTTAGTACGAAAGCTGCTTTTGACTGTTTTGTTGGCAGCTTACTTGTGCTTCAAGAAAGGAAGTTTGGGTCCGAATTTTGTGTCCTTTTTAGTGTAGACTTTTACCTTATTTGTTTCCTTGTTCATCTAGATTTGTATTAGGTTTTATTTGCCTTTAAATACCGTTCTATTTACGTTGTAAAACAGAAGACTTTGATTAATCGAATTGAGAACCTTTTGGTTTTTGTGCAAGTTGCGACTTGTGTTGAGTTTGGTGGATTCCAAGCTCGTGAGCTCTTGTATCGATTGAATAGTCACTTCAATCGTGGTCGGGCATCTACCTTTTATACCAATCGAGCGTTCCCCAGGTGTGGAGTCGTCCTTTTGGTTCCGTTTTATCCAAGTTCGTATTAAGAACGCTTCGTTCTTGATTCGAGCTCAATCGGTCTTTCGATTGAGTCGTTAGCTGCGTGACTTTGATAACATACACCCCCCCAGGGGCGTATTAGAAGATACGATGCACTTTTAGTCAATGCCAGGACCTAATAGATGTCACAGTCGCGACTTCCGACCGTGAGTCGGGCAAATCAGGTGATAAGAGGATTTTTACGGGCAATTGCAAAAGGGATCGGTTTTAGACGGCAAAATGAGCTGAGAAGAGCGTAGAGAGAGAAGTGACAAAGAACACATCCTTGGAGCTTCATAGAGCCATCCAATCATCATTGGAGCTCAACCCAAGCACTAAGGAGTGACGATTGAAGAAAGAGAAGTCAGTTTTCAACCTCTCATTGAAGAAGGTAGTTGATTCTCATGGGTTTTCCTTCATCTCTATGGAGTAGTTTCTCGCTCACTTAGGTGTGAGGAGCCCTAATTTCATGTGTTAGATTGATTGTTGTTTGAACCCTATGATTATGAGTTTCTACTATCTCTTTGATTGATGTTTATAATTAATTGCATGAGTCTTGATCATATTCCTTCAATTGTGCTTTGACTATGAGAGAGAAAATCTTTCTAGGTCAATAGAGCATCTTCAATTGAACGTTTGTGAGTCGATAACATGAGAGTGAGTCGCATCATAGCGTTGTATGCAGTGCGTCTCAATAGCGAGAGTCTGTACTGTTTTGCATTCAGTGTTCTATACCGGTTGCGGAAACTCTCCCTCTGGGAAGTTCATCTAAATGGATTTGGTTAGCTTGAATTAGGATTCCAAACTAGCTAAGGACTGTTCATAGTAAAAGTATTGAATCAATCAATCCAGCGGTTTTCCCATTTTTGAATTGAACCAATTTACTTTGATTTGCTTCATTAGTTTGCTAATCAACATCATACCTTGTTGGCTAGATAATAGTTAAGATCACGAAGAAATAGCAAACCTAGTGTTCCGGGTTGATTTTTTATTACTTGATTCCCTATGCTATACCCTTCTTTGGTTATCCTCGCAGCCCCGTGGTCGTCTTCTCACAACCACAAGGTCACCTCGCTCACGATCGCATGGTTTATTATTTTCGTGGCATAACCTCTTGTAAGAGGGCTATATTCCTTTTGAATCATGTACATTTTCAAGATGATAACCGCTAAACTTAAAAATCCAAACCCATGAGACCTAGCTTAAATAACACTAATAGATACAATTAATCTGACCTTATAAAAACATTAATTATCTTGTAAATCATCAGTGGAACTTATTTAATTTTTACACCATATGCTGTCCACTATGTTCTCAAAACTTTGTTATTAGTTTAGCAATTGCAACATCTGAACATTTTGCACGAACTAGGAATGTCTCATCATCCGTAAATTCTCGCACTAACTGCTATCAGGTTCATACTCTGTATTGCAGTTGCTCGTAAAACAAACTGATCGGAAACCCAAAAAATCGTTGTAAAAACAGAACCGATGATATCAGGCAGATTGGTTTCGATGCTTTTACCAGTTTCCTGGATTCCATTAAAGAAACCAATACTTTTACTGATAAAGCCTCCGCTAAATCACTACCTCCATTTACCTTACCTAGTTCTACCTCATATAAACCTACCTACTTCACGAGAATAACACCACCACATGGAGCATCAATGGACATTAACGTTTCCTATTTCAGTTTCAAATTGGGATATAACACGAAATTAGCGGAAAGATACGACTTAACAGTCCTGTTGTCGAATTAAAACAAGAAGAATTATGGGGAAGCAATCAAGTAACTCCGAGTTAACTCTTGTTGTGGAATTAATACAAGATGAATTATGGGGAAGCAATCAAGTAACTCCAATGTCAGCTTCACCGGCTTCACAGCATTTCCACCTTCAAACTCAAGCCTTCTTACATCAGCAAAGCATATGGATCTTTTATGGCCGCTCTTCTAGTCCCTTGCTCATTTTCCAATTCCACCCTTTCCTCCTCCAATAATGAGCTCAAAGCACCTTTAACCTTCCCATTGGGTTGCATCTTGCTCATTCTTAAACACTCACCCAATTCCCATCGCCAATAGTAAATCCGATGGTTTATCGTCATACTTTTGGTGCTGGACTTTCTACAATGAATTTGGACCGAAATCAATCAGACTGTGAATTTGAGATGAATTCACTTGTCTACATAATAAAATCACTATAGATTCGAGCCATGTAGATTTCAAGATCTATCACTTGACAGATTTCAACCAGCAATTGATTTTAAATTCTAACATATGGTTCTCACCGAAAAAAATTCTAGCATATGTCCTTATTACCTCTAAATCTAATCATTACAGCAATTTAACATTTTGAAATCTATCTATTCATTCAAAAACTGCATTCAAACCCCCTACACTCCCCAAACCAGTACATAACTCAAACTTACAAAGCCACTAGCTCCCAAAAGTACCACATAACTCAGCATACCTTATAAGTGTAGTTTAGTATTTTGCAACTATCACAAAGAGTAATGTATGGTATCATCAAGACTTAATTAACAAACTTCTAGAATAGAAAGACAATCAGTTCAAGCAACTGCAGGTCTAGCAATTACCTTAAACACTGGTAGCGTGTGCATTAGCCAAAGTTAAACTTTGACTTTTTGTCAGCAGGTTTTAATACTTGAAATGAGCACATAAGTGTCTCATCAACACTCATCATGGCACCGGCATTATCAAACTCTCCACAATAATTAGGAGCAGAAAATATGGTTAGAAGCTGTCTGTTGGCAAAGAACTCGTATCCATCCTCCACAACCTGCACCAACCATAAGAGAAAATTTAAGTGAAACGGTCGACCAAAGGCCCAGATCGCGAAGAATATCGTCAACAAAGCTCCAGTAACTCTAGAAAAGAGAAAAAAGAGACACCAAATGCTAGAGGATTTTATCAGTGAAGGTAATATAGGAAAGCCTATGGATGTAAGCAAAATGAGATTGTAGGGGATAACTACCATAAGACCAATAAATACAACCAAGAATTACAAGCAGCCACAACCAAGATTGATCATAAAAGGACAAGGAAAAGTTCCTTATTGTATGTAGTTCACCGTCTTAGAGGGTCAATGAGGAGAACATGATTACAATGTGGAATAACATGAGCAAAAAAATTGCGAAAGTAACCTGGTGAGCGCGACATATCAGATCCAAATCATGCTTCTGAAGGAACTCTGCCACCTTATCAGGACCAAAAGTAAATGAAACTCCCCTGTCATTCATACCCCAACCCTGAACGTCTTTGCTAGGATCAGACCACAGCAGATCACAGAGCAAACCTGTGTCTGGTATATCAGTTGGGCGAGCCAAGTTTCTGATTTGATCCAAATTATGCAAATCTGGGGAAAGGCCACCATGCATGCAGAGAATTTTCTCATCAACTAGAGCAGCCACTGGGAGACAGTTAAAGCAATCTGTGAATGTCTTCCAAATTCTGACATTAAACCTCCTTTTACACTCATCGAAGAAACCATATATACGATTAATAGAAGCAGACTCATGGTTTCCTCTCAAGAGAAAAAAGTTCTCTGGATACTTTATCTTATATGCAAGTAGAAGACATATTGTCTCAAGACTTTGCTTGCCTCGATCAACATAATCACCCAAAAATAAGTAGTTTGCATGTGGAGGTAATCCGCCATATTCAAATAGCCTAAGAAGATCAGAATATTGACCATGGATATCACCTGCAGATGACCAACAATGCCTATCAGTCAGGTTGAGTAGATTTTCAGGAAACTTGCGTGATTTATTAAGTGATAGAATGATATAGAAAGAAACCAGCTAAAACAAATAACAAATAAGGCCCCAGCCTCCTTTTCCATTCTTCTTCACGATGAGAGCGTTTAGTATGGTAATTTAGGAGACATAAAAGATTATAGACCATCATGATAGAAGAATTTCAATCAATGAAAGGAGACTTCGAAGATTCTCCATTCGAAAGAAGAAGGCAGTCGTAAATTGGCAGAATGTTCTTTGCAGTAAGCATACTCTCCCCAAAAGTATTGCTTCCTCTCATGGCTAGTGATTTTGAACCATACAGCTACAAGTGATAAGCTTAAAGAATGGGGAAGATTACAAATGATGTTTGTGTTCTTTGTGATGTGGCTTCTGAAACAAGTTATTTATTTTTCTGCTGCAAATACTCAGCATATTTTGTAGCTTCTGTCTTTGGAGGTCTGATTCAGGTCTGGCCAGCTACATGGGAGGATATGCTTCCTATGGTTTGTCAACTAGCTGAGGCTGGTGGCTGTTTGTCAACCCTGTGGAAAGAGCAGTGTCGTAGAGTTTTTGGGAGTCAAGGAAGGGACTGACAAACTCTCTTATCTCAGCTAAAGGAGGAGGTCCAGTTTTATGCTTTGGGTAACACGGATATTAGAGTAGAGATTCAAAACATTCAGTTGTTCGCTAGTGTTTCCACATCAAGCAAATGCACAACCAGAAAAGAATAGCTTCGCATGTGGAATTAAAGGTCGAGAAGAACCACATGTAATGAAAACAAAGCTAGATCAGAAACTAAAAAACAATCCAAGTTCATTCAATTGCATATGAGAACATAATGTAGTAGTAAGAGTACCACAAATCTTGATGGGTGCTTCAAGCTCTAACAAATTGGGTTGTTGCAAAAAGATCTCTCGAGATGCCCCGCAGAGTTGCCTGATTTCCGCCTCGGATAACTGGACCTGCTTCCCAGGTCTACTGCGAACATCTAAAAGCCGCCGAATAATATCATCCAAAACATCCGGTTCCATTTCCTAACCTAGCAAGTACAACCCTTCCGCTTTCTGTTTTCCTTAAACAAAGAACGGTTCATCATAAGACAAATAGAGCCACCTTTACAATCAAAGAAACGCTGCAAATTGGCCATGCAAAAACTCTAATCATACGACTAATAGGCACCACAAAAATCAACATCCACACTACAACCAATCTCTTCAACAAGTGTGTCAGGGTAACAAGACCAGCTAACCCAAATCAAATCAAATTACATCAACATCTTCTCCTCTATACTGGCAATAAACACAGGAGATATGAAAACCCAAACACTCACCTTAAGCTCCTGGCAGTCGAAAATGTTAACGAACTCAGGAGCTACTCTTCAACAGGAAGACTGGAAGTTGAGGAGAAAGCTGGAGATTTGAAAGATGGAAGAGTTAAACCATAGAAATTGAGGAATATCCTAAGATACACAGAGCAAGAAATGCTCGGACAGAACAACGCCCAATGAAATCACAGAAAAAAATAATAATAATAATAACTACTGAGCGAAGGTAACAGGCAACGGAAGCAGGAAAGTAAAAATAACCAGAGGGAACGAGGCTGCAGGACAAGTGATGGTGAACGGGAGGATGGAGCTAGGAGAGGGAGTTTCCTTTGAATGGAGCAGTGGCAGACGCCTTTAAGAGGAAATGCGTCGCGGAGGCGCCACAACAGCCAAGTCAACGAGTTTGGATACAGAGAGAGAAATGAGATTAGAGCAAGGAGAGCGGGAGATGGCAGCGGCGTGAGCGAGGAAGGCAACGGAGCAACCAAGGAGAAAAAAGCAGGTTCAATCGAATCGATCGAAATGGATGGAACACCCGAAAGAGTGTCGACTGTCGTCCACCGTCGACCAAAATCGACTGTCTATGCCATTTCGTCCTCCGATGGTACGGGGAAACGGAGAGACTGAGCAGCAAACGCCCCACGAAGCTTCCTTCCGATGAGAGGGAGGGAACGGCCCTAAACGCTTGAGAAAGAGGATTCGATTTTGGGTTTAGGGTTTCGTTTTCTTTCTTTTCGTTATTATTCCGATTCCAGGCCCTTCCAACGGTAAGTGGGAAAAGTTAATCTGCTAACTTGAAGATTCGTTAGCAGATACTAACTGATATCCAAAATACATGAACTAGTATCCAAGTACTAAAGTATCTAGAGAGCACAGACTAGTATTCAAAGTTTGCTGACTGATATCCACCATGAATCAACTATTATCCCAAATTCACAAACTAATCTATAGACAACCCAGAATAGTATCCATATATAGTACATAATTAGTATCCAGATAACACATAAGAGTATCCAGATAACATATAAAAGTATTCATATTGAATACTAGTTGGTTGTTTGTGGATATTAGTTGGTATCTGCTATTTGGATACTAGTTTGTGATGTTTTGAATATTATTCTGTGCTATCTAGATACTCAGCAGACTTGGATATTAGTTCATACATTTTGGATATTAGTTAGTATATACTAACGAATCTTCTAGTTAGCAGAATAACTAGGCTGAACGGTAAGTTGACGCAGTTGTGGTGTGCACGAATATATATTAGGATAAATATAATAAGTAATTTTTTTAATTTTTAAATAGGGTTAATATTTTTGTATGACCTGAACTTTGACCAAAATAAATATTCTGGCCAATCTTTTCGATCTATAATATCCTGGCCCGAACTATACACCAAAATAAACAATTTGGCCAAACCCGATGTTTGACCGTTAACTTGGACGGTCAAACCCGTTGACTAACGGTCAACACGCCACGTCACTGCCAAGTCAAAAGATCTGATAAATATTTAATTTTTTTCCGTTTTTTATTTTTGGTTTAACTAAGGTATTAGATGATTTTTTTAATTTATAATAATTTAAAATTAGGGAATGTGTGGAAATTGTGAATTATTTTAAATATTTTATGCTCATTTGGCAGTGACATGGCGCGTTGACTAACAGTCAACGCGTTTGACCGTCCAAGTTAACGGTCAAAAGTCGGATCTGGCCAAATTGTTTATTTGGATGTATAGTTCGGGCCAGGATGTTATAGATCGAAAAGATTGGCCAGGATGTTTATTTTGGTCAAAGTTCAGGCCATACGAAAATATTAACCTTTTTAAATATCAGTTCAATTTTTTGAATTTTCAAATATGGAATAGCATAGGGTACAAAACATATCCCATAAAACCTCTTTTTTTGTTTTTAGAAGGGTTATAGGTATAATATGCCCCTCTACTATGACGTTTTATCAAACATGCCCCTCTACTATTTTTTACATCAAACATGCCCCTTTACTTTGTAAAAATGATCAAACATGCCCTTTTGTTAAAATTTTCATCCAAAAACCGTTAACCAATGCCGAACTTTAGTTTGGGCGACACAAATGACTAAAATATCCCTGATAAATTCACTTTAGAATTTTTTTGGGTAAATGACACATTTGGTCACTGAGATTATTAAATTGTGTCATGTTTAGTCACTAGAAAAAATTAATATCAATTTTGGTCACTCGAATTACCGAAACTGGTCAAATTTAGTCACTCTCCCGTCAGTTTCCGTCCAACTCCATTAATGTAGTTGGACGGAAACTTTTGGGAGAGTGACTAAATGTGACATTTTTCAATAATTCGAGTGACCGGAGTTGGACAAAGGCTACAGAAGAGTGACCAAATGTGACCTGTGTCAGTAATTCGAGTGACCAAAATTGATATTAAATTTTTCTAGTGACTAAATATGACACGATTTAGTAATCTCATTGACCAAATGTGTCATTTACCCGAATTTTTTTGGTTCTTTTGTATAATCAAATCATTCAAATAATTTCACTTTGAAAAGACCTAGGGAAATAAAACAGGGGACAAAACTGACATTTTCGCTCCCATTTGCCGATGCCGGGTCGTCTAAATCTCAATTCAACCATGATTGACGATTTTTTCAATGGAAATTTTAACATAAGGGCATGTTTGATAATTGTTTCAAAGTACATGGGCATATTTGATATAAAAAATAGTAGAGGGGCATGTTTGATAAAACGTCATAATAAAGGGGCATATTATACCTATAACCCTTTTTAAAAAGATTGACGCATGAGCGCCTAATATCTACACCTATCTAACTAACACAAAAATAAAAAATAGCATATGAAAGCAAAAGTGTGAAAAAGAAAAAAGGGAAACTTACAACAGACTAAATAACTAATGGACATAACAAAAGAAGATAGGATACGTGAAAGAAAATAAAACATAGCTAAACACAATACACAACTACACAAGAATAAGATAAAACACACAAAAATTACATAAACGACTAGAGTCGTAGTTCTCGACTTTTCCTAATAACCTAAGAATTCTCCAACAATGGCTAGAGTAGTAGTTCTCGACTTTTCTCCACTGGAATTATGCCTGCTATAGTTAATAGCATAGTTAAAATACGGTACGAGAAAGTTAGGTATAAAATACGTACGGGTATTTTACTTCATTTTTGAGCTAATGTTTTGTTTAATTATACGTTAATAGTCATAAATATATAAGATAATTATTTTTAAAAGTAAATAAATATATAAAAAATAGTAAAGTTTATAATTTAATTCGTTAAATACGGATATTAAACGTGTTATATGAGTTTTATACGTGTTTAGTACGGGAGCCGTCAAATAAACGGAAACAAATGAAACGACTTGAAAATAATACGGATACAGAAGTTTTAAACGGATAAAGTACGTACGTGTACATATACGTGTATTAAACGGAGTATTTATTAACTATGGTTAATAGTAATATATTCACATTGGTTTCTAAGATCTCTTGTGCTGAGAATATGAAAGATTATATGCCTATTTCGTGCTGTAATACACTTTACAAAGGTATCTCCAAGATCTTAGCTAATAGATTGGCAATGGTTCTCCCAAGTGTGATTAGTAAATCTCAGTCTGCGTTTATTAAGGGACGAGCTATTGGTGAAAATCATATTGTTAGTCTCTGAATTGGTGAGGAACTATCATTATAAAAACATTTGTCCAAGGAGTGTGGTGAAAATTGACATCATGAAAGCATTCGACTCTGTAAACTTGAAGTTTTTGTTTACTGTGATGGAAGCGATGGGATTCCCTGCTGTTTTTTTTTTAAACTTCTATCAGCTTGTGTTACTACTCCAACAATTAAGATCTCTTTGAATGGTGGTCTGTGTGGAAATGTTAAGGCTCGCAAAGGCTTAAGGCAGAGCGATCCTCTATCACCCTACCTATTCACCATAGATATGGAGGTATTGGATGGCCTTGCTAGGAAGGCAACGAGGGATAATAAGATTCCTTTCCACCCTCGCTGTAAGCCCTTGATGATCACGCATCTCTGTTTTGCGGATGATCTGATGCTTTTTACTAATGGTTCAGTAAGGGGGGTTGCAGGTATAAGGCGGCTGATGGATGAATTTTATACACTCTCTGGGTTTAAGTGTAACGCAGCGAAGTGCCAGCTATTCTATGCTGGGATATCTAAGGAATAAATGCAATTTATTTCTACTACAACAGAGTTTTCTCTTGGTTCCCTTCCTGTCAGATATCTAGGAGTCCCATTGATAACTGGAAAACTTACTCGGCAAGATTGTCAAGTTCTTATTGACAAGAGTATTTAGAGGCTTCGAAGCTGGAGGTCTCGCTTATTGACTTATGCTGGTCGTATTCAGTTGATTTAATCTGTGATAACTAGCACGCTGCAATACTGTCTTAATATCTTTCTGCTTCCTCAGTATATAATTAAGGAAGTGGAGCGGCTATGTAATGTGGGTACCACCACTATCTGGATTTGGATTACTCATCAACAAAAGAAACACTGAATCAGGAAAATGAACTGGGCTGATTCTCTACCAAATCAAACATTAAAATCAAACGACAATTGAATAAGTGGCCTCCTGTTCTTAGTTGAAATTAAAATAATAAAATGAGTTCAACTTCACAATTAATCAATTAACTTACCTCGAGTCGAGCAGGGCAGTGACCGGTGGGAGATGCTGTGGAGGTGAGACGGCCGAAGCATGAGCAGGAGAGATGCGCTGGAGCTGGGAGCTGCTACGGGGAGATGCGCTGGAGCAGGTGAGACGGGCGATGACGATGGCGAGCGTGGAGCTGCAGCGGGGAGGGGGGATGGGGACAACGTCGACGGAAGTGCCGAAGCCGGGGGGGGGGGGGGGGGGGGGAGTGTCGACGATGGTATTTCTTGGCGCCGCTCGTCTCTCCCTGTTCGCGAAGAAGACGAAGGAGATGAAGGAGAATTAGGTCTCTAGGGTTTTTTCTAGACCCTAGTGATTTTGCATTTCATTTTCTGATTTTTTTTATTAATCAAAATGGCCATAAGGGGGGGAGGGGGGAACCGAGCGACCGGCTCGAGCGCCTGTCTTTTTTTTAGATAAGCAATGTCTTAAAGTGCACAAATGCATAAAATTAAGAATACAAAATCTTTTTTTAGATAAGTAATGCATGTATTTCATCAAAAGGTGCTCACTTTGAGAAGTACAAGAGTTCATAGTACAAACTACCCTACTAATCATCTTCCTATCACACTACTTCCTTGTTCCGGCTTCTTGCAAGCGAGTTACAGCTTGTAATCCAAACCAAGGACGAGATTTTGGAGTTAACTCACCCTCGCAAGATCGCAATCCTCTGTTCCGGCCATTGTAGCATGTGTGTCACCTAGAGAATAAGGGGCATGATGACTTGACGGGGTAATACCAGTCATTTCTAGCTCTTCTTCTCCTTCTTCAAATTCTTATTTGTATTTTTCATAGAGATGTCTCTAATCAAGAATAAAACAAGATCATTTTTCATCATATCTAAGGGACTCCTTGCCCGATGTTGCAAAAATACAACTAATGTTGGAGAGTAAGGTGACCATTTGGAAGTCTGACGACCTTTAGTACCGTACCTTGCCCCCGAACGCGCAACCCTCACACCAAGAAAGACCTCCCTGGCCCCTTTTCTTTCTTCATTCCTCCTCTTTCTTTGCTTTGAAATACTTTGTATTTAT